AAATTCATGTACAAATGCGGAATTATTTTAATTTGAAAAAGAGCTGGACGATGACAGTGACATTGATATTGTAGTATGTAATATTTTTCTTGAAAATATAAATAATAGCGAAATTATATCTCTAACACCAAGAAAAAAAGGCAAGATTCAACGTGTAAATAGAATGTATGTAATATTAATAAGAAATAATAATAAAATATTATATGCAATTATGTTTAAGAACAAAATTTTTTTTGTTTTCTTCGTAAAATTTTTGGAAAATTTTTTGGTATTTTTACGCTTGGTATTTTTTCTTTTGAAAAAATGATTCGTGAAAACTTAGGATCAAGTTGGAGTTCGGTACTGTCAAGGCATTAGGTACTGTATGGGTACACTATTGGTCATGTGTTTGAATGTACATGGATGCAGAACCTATTTTTTGAATAGATAGAATTTTATTGTTATATGTATGAAATTTGTAATAAAGTACCTTTGATAACTTTTTGCTACATTTTCCATGATCAGCGGTATGTCGACCAAGTAATCATTTTTTCAAGTAATTGACAACAGTATTACCACAGCTTCTTCATTAGACTCTGGATCAGTTCCCATTCTTTATATTTTGCAACGTGTTTTTCTTACCAAATCATTACTGGAATTACAAGAATTATAGTCTACTATTTTATTATAACCGTTTCCACTGCAAGTTACTTGTCAATCGAACTAATCTTTTTTCAAAGAGATGTCACGAAAACGATTTAGATCTTCTAATTCATCTTATGTAGAACATGAAGCATATTCATTAGAAGATGATTTTGATGAAAATTTCATAATACTGAATCCTGATGATTCTGGTTCTGATAATTCAAATTCTGATGAAGATTCCGATCAAAATGTGAATATTTCCATTGTTTTTTATAAAAAAGCTTCAAAAAGTCACTCCGAAAATCAAGACAAACTTGAGAAAGATCATGTATTTATTTGAAATAAGGGTGGTTAAACAAAATTAAAAAAAAAAAAAAAATTGAGAAAAAACTATACAAGAGAGCGAGCCTGTAAAATTATTCCAAACATTTTCTCTGCTGAAATGAAACAATACATCATCGATGCATGTCGTGGAAATAATTATAGTTTAAAGTTGCAGGACCTGAATACTTTTTTGGGATTGTTATCCTGAGTTCGTTCAATAAAAGGAAGTTCCAACAAGATTATTGGTTAATAGATCCATTTTTATCGTGTGAAGTAGTATCGTCTACAATGTCTAGAGATAAATTCAAAGAAATCAAGTCAATTTTGAAATATTCAAGATCTCGAGATCATGACCTTAATGATAAGGGACGGCGTGTTCGCTGATGAAATGATGGCGAAAACAACTTTGAAACATTTTATTCGAGGAAAACCAAAATGGTTTGGTTTCAAATTATGGGGTTTATGTACGAGTACTTCTAACGGCTACGTACTGAATTTAGATTTATATGATGGGAAAAATTAAAAAATTGCAGATAAATTAGGAAAATAAGTTTTGGGTTCCCGCGTAGTATTGAATTTATTGAAACCATTGTTTAAATCGGTTTCTTTTAGAAAAATGACTGAATTTCTCCTTTACTTTGACAACTATTTTACGAATATAGATTTAATTCTACATTTGTAGAAACTAGGCTTGAAATGTATAGGTAATGTTAGAGAAAATCGGACCAAAGAAAAGAATAAACTTAAGAAGAAAGCTCTAAGAGGTACTCACGTTGTGAAGTATGATAAAAACAGTGCCATCAATTACGTTACCATAATGTATTCAAAACCAGTTTCAATAGTTTCAACTGCGGAATAACTCTATTATTACCTTCAAAAAGATATAATTCGGAGGCACGTCCTAAAATCGAAGTGTCTTTCCCACAAGCTTTTCATCTCTATAACAAATTTATAGGAGGCATCGATCTTCACGACGGGCATTGTAATAACGTATTCCCAAGCATTCGTTCGAAAAGAACTTGGGTGGTTCTTATTAGACTCATACAGGCATCTATAATGAACTCGTTCGTGATATACAAGGTGTCCCATTTTAAAGGAACCACCCCGAAATTTTCTATGATTGGCGTTCTACAAAAAAATTGTTCAGACAAAAGTTGTTTGGAACAATGAGGAACACCTTTCCCTGAAATCTGATTTTACCTTGAGATTAATTTTCAAGGTCATTTGAAGGTAAAAGTAATTTTTTGAATAGGAACCTATAATTTTGATCCTGGATTCGGAAAGAGCGGGAAATTCTACGTTCAGATAAGGTATTATGTGTGGAGTGCGGTTAACCCCCCCCCCCCCCGCGTAAGATCATGTAGGGGTCAAATTTATTATTTTCTTCATCTATGTACAGGGATGATCGGGCAAGGGTAAGATTAATTGTAATAACCCACACCAAGATATGATGCAACGCATTACACAAGCTTGTAGAGCTATTCCGCGTCACGTTTTGTTGTCCACAGTTGAAAATTTCGAACGTAGAATTCAACACTGCATAAATTTGAACGGTGGTATTTTTGAACATTTTATGAGATAAAAATTTGTGTAACAACCTTGACCATAACTCTATGTGTAGTCATCGTCTTGTCTTTATTGGCTGGCCATTCCCACCTTGTCTTAATTGGTTGGGTAATTAATACCTTGCTTTCATTGGCTGGGTAGCCAACGTCTTGTCTTGATCGGCTCAGCATTCTCACCTTGCCTAGATAGACTGAACACTCCCTCTTGGCATACATTGGTTAGATTGGTTCACGTTACTAAATGTAGCACGAACATACGTAATGATTAAATCAAAAACGACCTTGATAATCGAACTTTTATTTATCTTGGGTCAATACCCAATAGGTTATCATCATTATTATTACTATTATTATTATTATTATTATTATTATTATTATTATTATTATTATTATTAACCTCACCCTTGCCCCGGTGGGATAGGAGGGGGGGTTGACCGCACCCCACATATAATACCTTACCTGAACGTAGAATTTCCCGCTCTTTCCGAATCTATGATAAAAAAGGTTATTTAGTTATTTGGTTATTGGGGTTATTTGGTTATTTGAGTTTTTGAGTTATTAAAATTAATCTTACCCTTGCCCAATCATCCCTGTGCATAGATGAAAAAAATAATAAATTTAACCCCTACATGACCTTAGGAGGGAGGGGGATTAACCGCACCCCACACATAATACGTTATCTGAACGTAGAATTTCTCGCTCTTTCCGAATCCGGGATCAAAATTATATGTTCCTATTCAAAAACTGACTTTGACCTCAAATGACCTTGAAAATAAATCTGAAAGTCAAATCCGATTTATGGGAATGGTGTCCCTCATTGTCCCAAACAACTTTTGTCGGAACAATTGTTTTGTAGAATGCCGACCGTAGAAAATTTCGGGGTTGTTCCTTTAACATAGGTCACCCTGTACAATACCGCGAAGGGTGAAAAAAGAAAAAATGGGATAAAAGAATTTACAGTTTCTATTGCCACATATTACATCCAAAGAGGTCAGTCAAGACGACTAAAACCACATAAAAAATCTCATGTAAGTAAATTAAAAAAGAGTTAAAATTGTTTTATAAGAACAAGAATTTCTGGCAGGAAATGCAATTTTATATTTCGTGATGCGTGTTTCAAGGCAAAACACTAGGAAATTTAGTTTCTCAGTGAGAGGCAAGGGAACTCACGAAAATGAAGCACCCCGAAAGGTGAGAGGCAAGGGGGCTCACAAAAATAAAGCACCCCGATGAAGACAGGCATATTTCTACCACGTCCACGTCTTTATCTCTGTATAATGCTAAGAGTAGAATAGGAGAAAGCAATGTACATGTATGTAAATCAAACTATATCTCAATTTTCGGAATACTAATCGTCAAATAATATTTTTATAGGAAAAACCACATGAATAATTGATTTGTTATAAGATATACAAGAAACTCCGGATTGCACAAAATTTTATGTCATTTCGGCTATTTTTTAGAGGTTATGGTGATTTGAGGTATGATAAAAAATTTTCTTGCCAACTTTAACTACCATGATCACGATTGATCAAATTTGGAATTCAATCCCAATAACCTTTCATCTCGAAGAAAAATTTTGAAAAAAAAAATTTCCGTTTTTTCGCATTTTTTTCTTTGAATCCACTGTTTTTTTCAGGGCTTCCGAAATGCAAATTTAACCCAACCCAACCCAACCCCGGAATTCGAAAGAACATGCCAGAAAATAGTTAGATATGCTATTCTAATAAATATTTACTCGGTTTTTCTTGTGAAGTTTAGAGCTCAAAGATCTACGTAAAAATCAGCATTCTTCGGCATTAATGGATCAAGATCATGGGGAATTATCCATTTGTAGGTCAAAAATTAAGTTTTTCCTTAACATGACCTTATATTCAGACTCAAAGACCCTAAAAAGTTATATAAAAGATAGATGGACATTTTTGCTCGACTTTTCCTCTATTCAATCTTGAAATAGCATTAAAATGAGATTCTAAAGACCTAATATATAAACCTATATAATACGGGTTTCAACTCGATTGTTCGGTTTTTCTCTTACTTAATCTTTAAATGACCTTCAATTGGTCTGACATAGCCAAGATGATCTCGTATACGGATTCAGCGACCCTAAAAATTTATAAATATATTACAGTTAAGTCGAACAACCAAAATATTTACTTCGAAATTTTGTGATTTTTTTCACGAAATTTAACATTGAATTAACATTGATTCTTACTAGGAGCAAGAGGGAGAGGTTCCATTTGTTGTGAAATCGATTAGTTATCAAATAAAGATAATAATAAATAAAAAAATTTCTATGGCTAAAAATGTAGGGGGCCGAAAACCAGCCAATGACCTTACTTCTTTAGGAATCTATATAAATTTGTGGTTTTATTAGTATTTTTAATGATTTATTGTACAATAATTTGAAAGAGGAAGAAAATATGTATAATGAAGAATATCATTAAGAATGTCATTTTGAATAGTCATAAAGAGATTTATTATCACCTTAATTGTTGATTGAAATCATCTTCTACATCGTCATCATCCCAATTGTCTTCCCATACGCTAATATCTTCATTATCTTCATCTTTAGATGTCCAATCTGAAAAAAAAAATTATTAATTATCTTTCAATAAAACTATTAGTGCTATTGCAAATTAACAGAACAAATAGTTCCACTCGTACTGACAATAAATACCACACTATAAATCAGATCAATCTGAAGTAAATGATGCATCATGTTTGTTAAGTAACAATTTTTATTTTTATCAAGTACTAATAATGGTATTATTATATTATATTATTATTATGTTATTATTACTTCTAGATTTTACGATCATACGCCAGCATAACACTTACAATTTGTTAGTCTTTCATCATAAATATACTACTATATATAAAACATATAGAAAATTGTAGATTTATTGACTTTAAACTGTACGAGTATATTAATTGTATTATGGAACTATATACATCATCTAACTTATTAATAAAATTATTCACACAATTCAACCATTGAAGGTATACAGGAACCTATATGGTTGTTCCTCCAAATAGCGACCAAAACACAGAAAAAAATTCTTATAGAAAATGTTTCAAATATAAATTTTTATAATTTGATTATGTAAATAATTCTATTAGAAAGAAAGTATCATTTTAGGCAAAGCTTACATAATATTAAAAAAATTATTTTTAGTTATTAAAAAACAGATTGTTTTTCAGGCTGTAACGTCGGATAATTAATAATACCATTCTATTACATTTTTTTTATTTTTTTGTATTACGACTTCAATGCATCAAACTGTACAATTTCGAGAAACGAAAATACTTTGGAAAGTTTCTCTTCTCAAGGTTTCTTCAAATTCCAAGAAAAGACAAGCTGACCAAATAGTCTGCGATTAGAAAATAGGTATAAAAAATTTTACGACTTTGTTATGTGCGTCCATATGATTAGGATGTCTTTGCACTAACAGCATTGGCTGCCGACGCCCAAACCCTATAAGGAACGCAGAAAAAAAAGAGAAAACTCCTCTTATGCGTTTCCCACCGAGTTTTCATTTTTCTGTTTAGTTTAGTCATAATAAAGTTAGAAAATTATTTTATTCTATTGAGTAGTTTGTGCAGTTAGATAAAATTAAGTCGTACGGTTTACAATTTAAGCTACGTTTCATTTAAGTTCCATTTTATTTTAGATATTTAAAGATGTAAATAAATAACATTTGAGAATTAAATATAACTTTCAGATTGTTATTTATATATATTTAATGACTTATAATAGATAATAATTAAGTAATAAAAGTATGTTAAGTCTTTGCAAAGTAAAATTTTAAATAATAGTACTTTTATACGCGATTTGGCATGAGTAACTCCATCTATCTTAAGAAAACTGTACGCTTCCCTATTGCGGGAAAATTTCCACCAATTAGTTTTGAAGTTTTCATGCCCAAATCCTTCAGAGCCCCTTGCGGCCTTATTTTGAAAGAGAGCGCATTCCGAGGGAATGTGCTAAGTAAGGCGCGAACTGTTTGCCACTGCTACACCACCCACAGCAAGAAGTGCCACGCTCGAAGGATTCACTCTCTCAAGAACCCCAAGGATTCTATTTTTTGGAAAGTCAGTTTTTAGATTCAATTTTAGGTATTTATTTTTCACATTTCTTCCCCTTTCACAATTCCGTATAGCTCGGTCCTCTCGTTGAAAAACGAAATAGACTTGATACATTAGTTTAACGCTCAGAACTTGGATCATTAGGATCTTTATAGGTCTGAGTGGAATCTTTTATCAAGTATTCATTGAGCCTTCTGAAAAGATAGGCGCTTGAATACTGGATTTTAGATTCAAGGAAAATAGGTATTTATAATCAACACCAATCTTTTCTTACCCGGGTAAAGGGAGAAATCACAACCCAAAAAGGATAGAAAATTTTCCCGTCTCATAATTAGTGAGATGTAACAAGGCTTACAAAAATAATATTTTATTGAGAAAAACGTAAGCAGTAAAACCCCGAAACGGATATCAATTAAATTCCGAGATGGCTGAATATTTTTTAAAGTACTCATTTCTGAAAAAGGTCAAGGTTATTCCTTTAGAATATACCGCCAAAATTTAAATTTATCCAAATCCAAGATGACATCGCCATTAAACTTTAAATCTTCAAGCGAGAGGTAAGGGGACTGCACTGGACAAGCACCCCAAAGGAAATAGATCTTACTACATCCACGTAAGTTGTTTCTGGATAATGCTAAAAGTAAGAGTACGGATGATAGTCATGTCATCATTTAAAAAAATACTGTCACAATTTAAGGTTTCCTGCTTTATCGATTTCCGGTATTAAATCTGCGATTTTCAATTAAAAAAATCAGTTGATCTTGAAATGACCTTGAAGGTCAAGTGGACATCGAATTGGAGGTCAAGTTGAAGGTGGCTACAAGATTCCTCATTAAAAACTACAAAAATAAAAACTTTATCGATCGGAAAAATATTTAAAAATCTCAATACCTTGTTGGGGGTAAATGACCTTGGAGTAACCTTCAAGGTCAAATTTTTTCTAATATCTAAGCACATATCTGAACGTAAAATTTCCCGTTCTATCGATTGCCAGTGTCAAGAATAGGGATTCCCATTTGAAAAAAATGAGGTTGACCTTGAAATAATTTTGAAAATGAGGTTCAAAGTCAAATCCAAGGTCACCATTGGATTCCTTGTTCAAAATAATTAAAGAAATGATCTTGACTTTTTTCAGAAATGATGTACTTTAGAAAATATTCAGCCGTTCCGGGTCTTAATTGACACCCTATATGTAACTGAAATACACGTTTTCTTCTAAAATATTTGACACTCTTCACTGTAAGAGTTGAAATCGGTGATGCATTAGTGTTTAAATTAAAAATACTAAATAAACAGAAACTTTGGACCCCCAAAGAAAATAAAAAATTTATTACCACTTATTTTTCTTTTAAAGAAATACATTTTTTTTATAACTCAATCGACAAAACTGTTCCACGGTAGAATGAAATTTACAGTTAGGTACTGGCGATGTAGGTCTGACTTGAAACAAATTACATGGAAGAATAATTAACTTATATCAACAGTAAAGTTTTCTCAGCTTTGGGATGAATATGAAATGATCAAGAAATATATACTTTAATTGTTAGTAATCAACTGAACGAAGCCCATGGAATTACATTTTTAGTTGTTTTCAACGTATTCATTTTTAATATTACTTATGTTTGAACTATGAATAACTATTTGATGCTTTGGTTTTATTTGCTTATTGTATATTTAAGTGCTATATTGGATAGAGAACGAACTTGGTGTTTATATAAAGAAAAAACCAAATGCATATATATAATTGTTCATATAGTATTTTTTCGGGATAATACTAGAGAATTTTACTAGCACATGGTGTTTTGTAAATAACCTATCCTTATGTTAGGAAAGCTTTCGCCGCATTTTCGCCAAGAATTCGTGCTCAGTTTTTGTTTTCGTTCTCTCTTACATTAGTTTCACTCTCCGTGACAATCAATAAGTCCGGCTGCTTGCTGTCAGTAGAATACCTTACGTCCAAAGCTTTTTACCAAAACTTTTTTTGTTATTGTTGAAAGAAGTAAAAAATATTTCCCTTTTTTCTACATTTTGTATCACGTTTTGTGTCTGCTAGTATTGTCATCCTAGCAATTTTTGCTAACAATAAGAATCTGTCACCTTTTCTCTTGCTTCGTTTCGTGCTTTTGCGCTCGTTTTCAGCGGCGTGGCGACTAGTCCTGCAGTGAGAAACGAAAGATTTTTAACGGCGTAGACAAATATATTTTATTTAACCTTTTGAAGCAAACATTTTTGTATTAGGAATTATTCGCTGAAAATTAATACACAAAGATTTTTGATTTAAAATATGTCACCCGTTTTGTATTCAGCGACCTAAAAAATCCTTGTGTGCGAATTTTCAAAAAGATAAATAAAAAAAAACGTGGTCAAAATGAATTTATCCTGAAAAATCACGTTTTTTTTACATATAATTATTTATAAACTAAAAAAATTGTTGTCCAAAATATGTGGAATTTTTTTACATGTCCTTTAACATTATAAAAGCAAAACCCTCATTTTAGATCCATTGTAAAGAAAGTGAATATTTAAATAGTGAAAGAATTTAGGTGGTAAGTATACTTACCACTATGCTTGAAAGGGACAATTAAATTAAAAGGTCTTACAATTTTGATTAAGCCAAAGGATTTAAAAATATCTTATTTGTACATCATGAAAACATTATATAACAAAATTCATGTTTTAGTTTGGCGGAGTGATTTTCGAAAATCACGCGCTTATATATTTTAACCCGTTTCGGCTCAGAACGACCCTAGTCAGACGTCATTCTTTCACGGCTCATCACTAACTCTATCGGCGCACACAAAAAAAATTCAAAATAACATATTTCTATAGTTCAAGTGGCGCTTTTTCCAATGGTGGCATCAAAATTTAAAAAAAACTTGTACTATGCAAAAATGCAGTATGAAAAAAAACACCAATTTAAAAAAAAATGTTTTTTGAAATCAATATTCCAAATAGTTTTCTGCCTGGAAAAGACCTAAGATTCAACTAATTGGTGACATAAATGTCTAGATATCAAGACTAAATGGCTTTCTGATCGATTTTTTGCGTCGCAATTTTCAAAATGACGTTGAAAACGCAAAATCTTTGGTAGCGAATTAATACATTTTTTTATCGAAAGTTATAAGTTTATGAGAAAAATAGTAAAGAAAAAGAAGTCTTAGAATAATTCAAAAAATATACCTAAATTTTTTCAAAAAGATCTGAGCAACTTTTTTGATTTTACCAATTAACAATTTTTCAAAATTTGAAAAATTGATCCAAAATTTCCGAATAAAATCACACGTACTCTTTAAGGAGGTTCGGGACAGTCACCAGGGGGGTTGGGGTAAGGGGAAAGTGCCTATGCTTTAACATAGGATGAAATCAGTGGCGCAAACTATAGATAACTGAATTCAATGTTCTGTATTGTTGTACTTAGATGAGTATGAACTGGTAAAAATGATGAGAATTGAACATTCATCACAAGTATCTACTCCTAATATGTGTTAGTCGTCA